AAAAGCAATAAGTCGGCTACTGCACTTCGTGCAGTCAGCCGACTTAATAAAAGAAAAGAAAACTATCTTGTCTATTATTGTAAGAAAACAAAATCTATATAGAGATGAAAATGATCATGTATCATAACTAACAATCTGTGAAATAAATTAATTTTCTTGAAACATATGTATATAATATATTGAGTTGGAACATGAGTTTTGCATATTTTTTGTTTTATTCCGCCATGTACTGTTAACCCTTGGACTAGCAAGCTTATTTTTGGAGATAATATGATAACATGTATTTGTATTCTATGATTTTGATTGCTGGACCGGTATTTTCGCCAAAATTAGGTTATTTTCCTCTTCAGTCTTGTAAAGAAATTATTAGAATTCCAGTTTGTCTTTATTTAGAACAGTTTAGTTTCACATCTCGTTCAAGCAAAAAAAGAATGATAGAGAAAACAAGATTCCTAACTCTACATTCGAAGTCTAATGAGTCATCGATCTGACTAATTGGATAGTCTCAATCTATGGCAAGAAATTGTTTAAATTAGGTTACAACTTTATCCAATTAGCTAAGCAATGATTCACTGCATTGAAGACTAATAATACGACTGGTTTTACATTTTCCGTGTCTTATTATAATTTAGCTAGCAGATCAAGGTATGATGTCATGTTAAATACTCATAATCAGTATATAAAAAGGAAGATGATTTCTTTTTTTTTATAGTCAAATTTGGATTCTAAACATTGGAAAACGTTAAATATATTGAAAAATAGGAAAAATATTGAGATATTCTTGTTAAATGCCTGTTTCCTAACGTGGGGTCCATTTGAACCCCGCTTGGTTGTCCAAGGTTTTATTATTTAGAACAATATACAAAAACGAAAGAATTGTATTTCTAGTATGATTTACTTGTGGATAATTATTTCATGAGACAACTGAGTTGATTAGGAGAATTACCTTGTCGGTTCGTGTTAACTACTATTTTTGCTGTTTTGTTTCGTTTTACACAAGGATCTATGTTAATCAATTCCACAGATAATGAATATCACTGGATTTTGAACTTAAACATAAAAACAAAGAGACATTAATTCTATTTTTAGCTTCATCACTTAATCTATCAGCATAGATGAAGAGAATCTTCATTGTTGACAACAATAGATACAACCCTAAAAAGATAAATGTTTTGTAATACAAACACATCTAATAAACGAGAATAACGAAAGTTTTTAGTGGTAGAGATCTGGTCTCGTAGTGGGACTATATTTCCTATATTTGTCAAAAATTGAAGGTTGCTCGCAAAAAAAGTCACATATTCGTTGATCTAAACGTCAAGAAAGCAACAATAAGATGTACAATGCAAGAAAATATAGAACATGTTTTGTGTAAATGAAGTTTGTAAGCAATTGCTGTAAGAAAAAGAAGAAATAGTAATGAAACCAATGCGTTTTAACGTGAACTTCATGAAGGCGACTAGACAGTCACCAATGACGGTGAACGTTTACAAGAACTTGCAACCAAGAAATAGTCTTGACATGGATAAAGTTATAAGATTAATTGATGACGATAATACTGAAAGTTAAACGATCTGGAACAGATGTTGACAATACAAAACAGTTGATTAAAATTAGAAGTAAATGAAAAATTGATTTTGGCCAAGAAGAACAGAAGCGATAAAAACTACAACTGATTCAGCGATTACTTATAATTAAAACAGATTTGTACTTGTGTATATTTCGAATTATACTTTTAGGTATGAGAGATGTTTTAATAGTATCAAAAAGTGGTATAGTTTATATTATATAAATAAAAAAATAATTTTTTTGTGGTCTCTATTGCATTTGATTACGTTTGTAATCCTATAGGTCTGTATCTTTAGCGTAGTTTAAAATAAATCAAACACAAATTATGTTTTTTCGATTTCTCAAAGAGATACTTTATTATGATACTGTTTTTCACAAATTGAAGATATTTGTCTTTAATTCATCAGATACACGTCAAATAAAATAGTCTATAATCTTCAATGAGATTGATAGATTTCTCCGATTTCTAAAGACTTTAACGAAAATCAATATCCTATATATTTCCTATATAGTTCGAGAAAATCCTATATAAATAGTGGTAGACAATTCCTATGTGTTTCTATATTTCTATAGATTGGCGCTACGAGCCCAGGTGGAGATAGATGAGATATATTACGTACGTCATTTCATTCTATAAAATCATCGGACAACGATATATTAACCTATTCTCATGAAAAACCTCTACTAACGTGATGTCAATAAAATGCACTTTACTGATATATGCCTCTTGTCTATCAAAAAAAGTATTGTTTAATATATTCAAATAAATTGTCTCTACTGAATAATTAAATAATCAAAAAGAATGTGTTCGTTCCTTAGCAATTTAATCTAACCATTAAACAGTGCTCATACTTTTGTTTCGAAGAAATATTGAAAAAAAAAATTATAAGAAACTAACATACTAGTTATTACAGTTCCGCAGGACGACCAAAAAGCCCTCGTGTGTCCTGTCACTGTTTGCTTTCTTTCACCTTGTCCCCTTGCAATTTTTTTTCTTATTTCATCTAATCCCGATGCGCGATCTATCTATCCCATGCCATCCTGTCGTCTGTATACTACATATTATTAGTCAGTTTTTTCTAATGTATCTCTGTTTTTTGAACGCTACAGAATCTCACGACTTTTGGCAGACCCTGCTCAACAAGTTTTTGTTCTAATTTTTAAGATTTCTTAGATCTCGATAGAGTTAACCAATCTAGCAAACAGCACTATTTAAGGTAGAGATGATGAATTTTCTACTCAAAAAAGTATTTGAACGAGTAGCCATGATATTTTTGACTTATCCAGTTTGTTTTAAGTCTCTCTTCAAAAAAATTTTTTTATGAATCATTTTTTATCAAAAGAATGAATTTCTTGGCTATAGCACAGCAAGCATTAATTAATATAACGACAGTTTAAGTGTTCAGATTTGTCAAATAGCCAACGACTATGAAATTTGTTCGAAGCAGATTTGTATACGATGCTAAGTTAAAACAATTCTAGTAGGTTTCGGTTGGACATAGTGGCAGAACTTCATAGGTATAAGACTGTACATTGTCATTATTTACTGTGAATTCATAGTAACTGTTAGATAGTTTTTAGATTTCTATTTTGCTGATAAATGTTTTCAACATGGATAATGTACAACCGAAAATACTAATTTTCTTTGCATTTTTTCGTTTTTTTGATAAAATGGATAGCTTAGTTTTGGCAAAAAAACTAATAATAGCAATCTCAATCAAAAGTTTTGTCAATAGATTCTTTATTTTCAGTCTATTTGTCGTGAAGAATTTCGGACTTTTATCCAGCATTGACTATCACTATTGCTGGGCATATACCTCACCCGTTAATCGATTATATGAGAAAATATTGTCGACCTTTCTGTTGAAAAAGCTTCGTAAGACCAGAAAATAATCGAAGCGTCCCATTCCGTTCCGCGTCGCGCAGGGAACCGTTTCACCTGCTCAGACAAATTTATGTTATAATACACGACAATCATTTTCATCAATAAATTCTGATTTTCAACCAATATCATCTCATCATCAATAATACAGTTATCGACTAGTTGATATTCTTAAACTATCATTTTTAACTCTGCCAAAAGAAGTTAAACAACAATTAACGTCTCAACTTTCAACATAGAATTTATCTGTACCAACATCAAATATTACAACAAAATTATCAACCAAATCAATGTCAAAGAAAACCGATACAAAAGCACAAGAAAAATCAACAACTATTATCGAACAATCATCATCTACTGTTCGAAATATTGAAATTCAAACAAACGGTAATTCATCCACAAGAACAACAATAGCAGAAGTAACAATTGTAGATAATGCATATCAATATGTTGATGTAATGCCTATACTTAATCCATCATCATATGTTCATTTTATTAATGTATCTTATTCAGTACAACAATCATCATAATTTTTTCAAGATAACCTACTAGAAACATCTATAATGCAAGATGAATTTATTAATATCAATGATTATCATCAACCATCGACTAATATACAATCAATGCCAAATATTGCTTTAATACAAGATAAAAACAAAAAAGAAAGAAATATTTTTATATATTGATATTCAACAATAATACATGTATTTACTCCAACAATATGTATATAAAAACTCCCTCCATTGATTTTCTGCTCTCCTCTATCCGATTATTCTCGGACAATATTGTATCATTGACAAGATTCTTCGTTTATCAATCATTAGCTGTATGCTTCAACATATATGTTATGCGTTTTATTCTTCTTTTAACAGACACATTGCATAAACATTCATCCTTCTATATGATCTAATTGGTGGTAAAAAATCTCTTTTTTTTCCTTCTCTCTTTTCATATAGTTTCGCCTCATCACTTATATGGTTCATCTAGTTCACGACATTATCATCTTTTTCCATAAATATATGATGAACAGTAATCACAACAACTGCAATAAGCACCATTAACAGATACTAAATCAATTGGTGTTCGTTCAGCTACAGTACTTCAAATGGCATCAACATTGAAAATTACACGTATTGAAACAGGAGAAACAAATGAATCAAGTTTAGCATCACTTGATTTTGCTCATACTAATCGTATTGATATACCTGGATTATGATGATATCGATCATTATCTGATGGATGATCAGTATCTGTAACAACGGCAGAAAGACGTTATCATATACCAATATCTCAATCATTTATTGATCTTCAACACTATGCCAATGATCCAGGACATATTGTAACGTTCATCTAGTTTTCGTCATCTTCAACAACAATAACTATTGACAGAAATACGACCATTTGGTTCAATATCAACAATTAATAGCTAAAAATTATAAATTATTTTAAGGAAAAACAATTTTATTTTTCAATTTAAATTAGACTATTTGATTCAATCAAAAGTCAACAATCAATTCAACTTGTTCCAACAATTCGTTTAAATGAAAAAGATATTTTAAAAATTGCATCATTTGATCAAAGTATTGGTACACTTGTTTATGTTGTTCGTAGTATTGCAACACTTTACACATCGGATTTTGATACTATGACTAATTTAAGAGATTAAAAAAAACTTTATACAGGTGTATCTATATGGCTTTTTAATACTGATATGAATCCTTAAAGGTATAAACATAAAAGTCTTTATTTTATAGATTAATAATTCTTTCTGTTTTTTTTTTCAAGAACTCATTGTATTCATTTAATAATCTCGAAACTTGGTTTAAGTTTTACAGTGTGGGATACAATCGTTAATGGTACATCTGATGTTCGATTATCAAAAGCACTTTATATAACATTAAAATCACTTGAAGCAGATAGAATATTTACATTAAAATTTGATGATACAACTGCAACTGATAAATTCCATATTTTGTTAAATTATCATGTGATCCACGTAATGCGAATTTATTTGATATATTTTATTCCAAACGACGTCCACCTATTTTTATTTTACGTAAAAATAAAATAAGAAAATTAGCTATTTCAAAATCATCGGAATTTAATCTCGTATTTAGTTTTTTAATTTGTTGTTGTCTTACGAGGGAACTACTCCAACTGATTCCGAGCTTTCGGCTTCATATTTTTGCTACAGATAGGCCTCAGTGAGACTAAGAAAATCCTAGAAGCGTTCGTCACCATGGGCTGCTGAGCCAAAGTTATAGCCATTTTACTGAATTTGTAGCCTACGACACGGTATCCACAGTAAAGTTAAATGAAGGTATTTCGGTCTGATATTCTGCCCATAAACACGTCTAATGATTCCTATCATGTACCAAAATTTTCAATCAAAACGGATGCTTCCTTCTTGAGATATTCAATTTTCAAAAATGTCTGCCTATAACAGGTAGGTCACAATAGCGGAGCTGTCCTGCAAATTGAATATCTCAAGAAGGAAGCATCCGTTTTGATTGAAAATTTTGGTACATGATAGGAATCATTAGACGTGTTTATGGGCAGAATATCAGACCGAAATACCTTCATTTAACTTTACTGTGGATACCGTGTCGTAGGCTAAAAATTCAGTAAAATGGCTGTAACTTTGGCCCAGCAGCCCATGGGGACGAATGCTTCTAGGATTTTCTTAGTCTCACTGAGGTCTATCTGTAGCCAAAATATGAAGCCGACAGTTTGGAATCAGTGGGAGTAGTTCCCTCGTTAGTTAAATATGTATGTTGTAGATTGAAATTATTTAATAAAAGAACATGTGATGGATTTTTGAATTGATGAAGTATATTACGAATAATTATTTTTTTATTGACAGCGAAAGAAATTGTTTGACTAAAAAGAATTTATGTTTGAAAATAGTTATTAACTAATAAGCATATAATGGATTTGCTATCGTGCGTCTAAGAATAAAGTAAATTTTAATAAAGTTGAATTATCTTTGTCACATTTTAGTTTGACATTCAGCAATAACATTTTGAAATTATTTCTACATATAGGACATAAAAACATTTAGATATTTTCTCAAACATTCATTTTCATTTCATCATAGACTTTTCTATCTTGCAAAAAAGTTCATACAAATAAGTAATTGTTATTCAAATCAAATGAAATCTATTTATCTCAATTATCAATAAAAGACGGGAAATAGCGTTCAGTATAGTCAATAACACGACATCATAAATTTGAATTTAAAATATATAATATTATAGCCCTAAAGAGGGCTGTTGGGTTTTAGTTAATGTTGGGTTTTGCTTATTACTCCGAGAGATTTGTTGAGTTTTTTGGTTAATTAAGATGTTTTGGGAGCGATGTTATTCATCTCATTTGATCTTTTGTGGAAAGTTCCGTACATTGTCAAGTATTGAACGATATAATGGGTCATTTAGTCGAGATTATCGATTCGAAGAATGCATAAGAGTATGATGTGGCGGTGGTCCCATGCCAAAACTATCGTCCATCATAGGTAAAAGATCCATATATTGTTGTTGATGATTAGATGGTGGAGCAAATAATGGATCCATATATTCCCTAGACTGAAAGGATAGGGTCTAGAAACAGGAATTGATCTGTCCGCGCGTATTTCGTTTTTGTCGGTAACATGGCACAAGTGACCATTTTTTTGGCACAAATGACCACTTTTTGCTATAAATGGCCATGTAACTATGGCACAAATGACCATTTGTTTGGTACAAACGACCATTTTTTTGGTACGAATGACCATGTAACTATGGCAGAAATGAGCAGTTTTTGGCACAAATTACTATTTTTTTTTTGAGACAACGACCACGTAACTACGGCACTAGTGACCATTTTGGTAAATATGGTACAAAAGACCATATAGTACCCATATTACAAATCAGCATATGATGTATAATAAAATTGTGACAAGTGAATCAGAACAAATACGGAATTTTATGTATGAAAATGTTATTATTTTAAATGTGATTTTTATTGAATATAAATAGCGCTAATTTTATTAACGCTTTTTTGTACTCAGAAGAATTTTAGTATAAACTTTTTAATCTTAATCTTATAACTTTCTAACACATATGTGTCCTTATGACATCAGTCTAGGGCCAGGTGAATCGACTGTCGATGAACGTTACTTGTTGTTGTTGATGATTGGATGGTGGAGCAAATAATGGATCCATATATTGTTGTCGATGATTAGAGGGTGGAGCAAGTAATGGATGGTCAAGAAAAGTGAGCTCCAAACTGCGTAAACTCCAAATTTGGAGCTCACTTACGCATCCACATTTTACTCATTGACCTCAGCTGAGGTCATAAAGTTCAGGGTCAAAAAAGTGAGCTCCGAACTGTGTAAATTTCAAACTAGGAGCTCACCAAAGGAACCAACTGTGATGCTAGAGGCTTCACCTGGGATACTAGAGGCATCATCTGCGATGCTATGGGCATCACCTGGGATGCTAGAGGCATCATCTGGGATGCTAGTAGCATCACCTGGGATGCTAGTAGTATCACCTGGGGTGCTAGTAGCATCATCTGGTATATCACTGGTATCCTTGGCGAGGCCTGTATCATCCCAGGTGATGCCTCTAGCATTCCAGGTAATGCCTCTAGTATCCCAGGAGATGGGTGTGGGTGTGGGTGTGGGTGTGGGTGTGGGTGTGGGTGTGGGT